CTCCTGGGCTTAGGCGATTCTCTTGCCTCAGCCTTCTGAGTAGCTGGGACTACAGGCCCCCGCCACAACGCCCAGCTATTTTTTTGTTGCAGTTTGGCCAGGGCCCAGCTTGAACCCGTCACCCTCAGTATGTAGGACCAGCGCCCTACTCACTGAGCCACAGGTGCCGCCCTGCCCCAGATTTCTTAAGACAAAAGTCCCTTTGGCTGTGTAGAGAGGGGAGGCTGGAGGGAATAGGTATGCATATGGAAAAGCCAGGGTGGAGTTAGAGGAGCAAACCTGGGCCTGTTTGAGTTCAGACCCTGAGCCTGGGGGCCTGGAGGATGTCTAGGAGAGACGCTAAGAGAATAGCAGGGGGCAAAGGCTATAGGGCTGGACCCAAGGATAGAAGATTGGGGACACCCCAACACCACCCACCACCTTCACCTGGTCCCTCTCAGCTCCCTAGGTTCTGGAGCTCCCCCGTCCTCATCCATTTCATAGGATAAAAACCCCAAGATGTGATGAGTTTGTGCCCTTTTCTGGGAAGACCCATGACCCCTGGAACTTTAAGAACCCTTCCTGTTTTTTCTGTTTCACCATCTCCCTGGAACATGTAAATCCACTCCCACAAGTGAGGTCACATCTGAACCCCAAGGATTTGGGCACCTCTGTCTCCACCCCCAGCCCTGTGCATCCACCTCCTTATGGGTGTCTCCAGAAAGAACTTTCTCTCTGGGCTTCCCCAGCTCTCTGGCCTCCCACATTCCTCATATTGCTCCATTGTCAATCTAATATCTATTGAGCACCTACTGGATGCCTGGCATAATTTGGGGGCACTGAAGACCTAATAGTGAACAAAACAGACACAGGGGCAGTACCTGTGGCTGAAAGGAGTAAGGCGCCAACCCCATGTGACGGAGGTGGTGGGTTCAAACCCAGCCCCGGCCAAAAACTGCAAGAAAAAAAAAATAGAGATAGATTTTCAGTTCCTTCCTGCCCTCATGGAGCTGACAGTCTAGGAGAGAGAGGGAGAATGAACTATAATACATTATCAAGTTCTTTCAGGTAATGATAAGTGCTCAGAAGATGAAAGTTCTAGAGGTAAGAGAGAGAGGGATGAGGAAGGGAGATTTAGAAAAGAGGTCCCTTCAGATTTTTTTTTTTTTTTGCACTGAACTTGAAAGCAGTGAGAGAACAAGTCATTAGGTTACATTGGGGAAAAGCGTTCCAATCAGCCATTGTAAAGGCCCTGAGGCAGGATGGTGAAGAAGAGGCTGCTATAGCAGAGCACAGTGGGCAAGAAGGGCTATTCCATGTAGGACTGTAGGAAGTTCAGTTTTTATCCTAAATAAATCAGGGAGGATTTTCAGTCAGGGGCAGGCAAGATGCGATTTGCCTACCAGGTAGAGGGAGGGGTCAGCCACAGTGATGACCTGGACAGGTGGTGGTCGTGGAGGTGGAGAAGAGGGGGTGGAACCATGGCAGGGAACATCACCAAAGGCTTATCAAACTTGTGTGGCTGTGGGCCAGGCCTGTGCCGGCCACCCTATCTCCCACTGCAGGCACAGGGAGGGCCATGAAGGTGCTGCTCCTTACAGTGCTGGGGGCCCTGTTCTTCGCCTATTATTGGGATGACAATTTTGACCCAGATGAGCACCTGGGGCTGGGGGAGAGAGAGAAGTTGGGCTGGCCATCTTGTCCTCCCTTCAGACTGACCACCCCTGCTCACACCAGCCAGCCTCCAGGGGGCTCGTGTGCTGCTAACGGGCGCCAGTGCAGGTGTTGGGGAGGAGCTGGCCTATCACTATGCACGCCTGGGCTCCCACCTGGTGCTCACTGCCTAGGCTGATGCCTTGCTGCAGAAAGTAAGCCGCCCCTGTCCAGTTTAATGGTGTAGATGCTAGGGGGGGTGGGGTGAAGAGGGCCTGAGTCTGAATCCCTGCAAATGATTCAGGCTTTCTGTGTGCCCTTGGGCAAGACACCCAACCTGAGCCTCAATTTCCTCATTTGGGAAAAGGAAGACAAAGTATCTTATCATGGGTTATGGTGTTGTGCTTATGCAGTAGCAGGGAATGTTCCTCAATAAATGGGAGTATTTACAATGTCATGCCTGTGCCCATAGCCACGGTTCTAAAATTCAAAGGACAGACACTTATTAGCAACAGCCCACTGCTGTTTCAAAGGAATATAGCGCTCTTAGGGACAAACCTTCCAAATTTTTAAGAGAAGCCAGAACTCTGGAAATTTTGTCCTTGGTTTTCAAATGTTGATGACTAAATAAAACATCCCCCATTCTGGCCTGCTGGCTGCCACTTGCCCCCCATCCCACCCACCCCCACCCCCCCGCAGTGGTAAAGCTTCGGGAATGATGTTGAATTGGACCGAAGGCTCAGGGTAGGGGAGCCAGCAGCTGGAGGGGCCCAGCTGGAGAGGTGAGGCCCAAGGGCAGCTCTGCTCCCCACCCCCTACCCCGCCAGGTGGTAGGGAACTGCCGGAAGCTGGGAGCCCCCAAGGTCTTCTACGTCGCCGCGGACATGGCCTCCCCCGAGGCACCTAAGCACGTGGTGCAGTTTGCGCTGGACCAGCTGGGTGAGGGGCGGGACCTGGAGTCTAGAGTCTGGGACATTGGCCCTTAGGGCTAGGACCAAAATTGGGGAGGGGTGTGGTAGTAACGGATTTCTGAGGGCGGAGACTTATGCGTTCCGGAGGCATGACCAGGGGTGGGCCACCTCATTGCAACAGGGGGAGGAACTCTGGATCCGGTTCTGTAGAGCTATGCTGGAAGTCTTAGGCCCGAGTCTCTATGATCGTAGGGGCGGGGCCTCGCGGCGCTGGGCTGTTGATGAGCCCAGGGGACGGGGCTGCAGGAATTAGCCTCGGGCTGACTGGCCTTTCTGGGCCAGGCGGGCTGGACTACCTCGTGCTGAACCACATCGGCGGCGCTCTGACGGACATGCGGTCCCGCAGCGCCCAGGCAACAAACTGGCTCTTGCAGGTGCTCTGCCCCTTCTATGGCCCCCGCGCTCCTCCCGCCTCAGTTGTCCGAGGGTCTCCCGCTCCCAGCGTAGCTCTGTCTCTGCCCTCGCGGGCGAGCTCTCTGTCCCTCACGGCCCTGGTCACGCCCTTCCGAGTCCTATGCCACGCCCCTGGGAACTCAGTCCTCCGGGCCTGCCTGTCCAGGTTCTAGGCTCCCTCCTGTTCTGGGCTTAGGCCCCGCCTCGCCCCCGGCTCTGCTTCCGCCTGGTAACTCGCAGTCGCGGTCTGCAGGTGAACTTCCTGAGTTACGTGCAACTGACTTCGCTGGCTCTGCCGAGCCTGACGGATAGCAAGGGCTCCCTGGTCGTGGTGTCCTCGCTGCTCGGTGCGTGCACACGGCCCCAGCTTTTCGGGGCGGGGAGTGGGGAGGATTCAGACTCGTTGCGGGCGAGCCTAGAGGGGCAGGAAGGCTTCGTGGAGGACGGCGAGCACAGTGTAGTTGATCAGCCGCTGGCCTCCCGCACCCCCAGGCCGCGTGCCCACGTCCTTTTCCACCCCCTACTCCGCGTCCAAGTTCGCGTTGGACGGCTTCTTCCGCTCCCTGCGGCGGGAGCTGGAGGTGCAGGATGTGAACGTGGCTATCACAATGTGCGTCCTGGGCCTCCAAGATCGTGCCTTCGCCGCCGAGAGAGTCAGGTGAGGCCCGGGCGTGAGCTGGGTCGGGGACTGCAGGGGACCGCCCAGCTCTAACCGCAGTTTCTACCGCGCCCTCCGGTCCCCAGGGGCGTCACTAGGGCCAAGGAGGCCCCGAAGCCCAAGGCGGCCTTGGCCGTGATTCGCGGCGGTGCCACGCGCTCCTCTGGCGTCTTCTACCCGTGGCGCTTCCACCTACTCTGCCTGCTCCGGGTCTGGGTGCCACGCCCGCGCGCATGGTTCATCCGCTAGGAGTTTAACGTCACCTCTGCAGCTACTGCCTGAGCTGGGGGTGTTGCCTCTCATCTTCCCGGAGGAGGGACACACCATCCAGGACACTAGCAGAGACACTTCTGAGAGGGTGGCCACAGCCTAAGACAGTCATAAAGATAGAAAAGCAGGCTCGGCACCTATAGCTCAACCAGCTAAGGCGCCAGCCACGTACACCTAAGGTGGCGGGTTCGAATCCCCAGCCCG